GGTCACGGATGACACAGCAGCGGCGGCCCGCCAAGCACAGGCCAGTCTGCAGGAAGGTGTGCCGGTCGGGCCCTGTGAGCAAGTCCACCTCCTGCGGGGAGATGGCAGCCAGCAGGCCCCCCGGCCGCGACGCCCACACGCAACGATTGTTCGAGTGGCCCACAACGGCCACGTCGTCGATGCGCTGGTCCTGCAGCACCGCACTGATGAAGCCCTTCCAGTCGCCCATCCCGCAATGAGTGCGCCCCTCCGCCTACCGCTGGGCGAACTAAGAACACCCGGGACACCGTGACGTATGCGGGGGTGGGGTTGTGACTAGACCAGGACATTGTCATAGAAGGGTTACCTAGGCTGGAGAATGTGGGGGCTTTGGCTTTTTATGCGTGGGAAGTTCTAAAGTTAGCATATAGGAAGGAATCAAGGACCATTCAAAAGGGCTCTAGAAAATCAGTTTAAATCACTGATTTAAAAAAATAGGGTTGGGGCTGGGGATTTGGTGGTGTATGCCTGTTGTCCTAGCTTTCAGGAGGCTGAGGCAGGAGAATCACTGCGAGTTCGAGGCCAGCCTGGGCTATACAGTAAGTTCAAGAACAGTCGGAACTACATGGTGAGATCCTATCTCCAAAACCAAACCAAACCACAGAAAGGGTTAAGGCTGGTGCAGTGGCTTACGCCTGCAATTCCAGTGCTGTAGGAGGCTAAGGATTTCAAGTTCAAGCCCAGCTTGGGGAATTTAACAAGCTCCTGTCTCAAAATAATAATAAAAAGGGCCAGGAATGTAGCTCAGTTTGAAGGCCCTGAGTTCAATTGCCAGTATTGAAGAAAAAAAAGTTTTAAGAACAACAACAAAAATGATGCCTTGTCTGAACAGCTGGACTTCTCAGCCTGTAAAGAAAACCATTCAACCCCAGATGGTGGCTCTCAAGCCTTGGAAAGCATCAGAATGCCCTAGAAGGCTGTTGGATGGATTGCTGGATCCCAACCCAGAGTTTCTGCTTCAGTAGTCTACAAAGGAGCCTAAGAATTTGCATGTCTAACAGCTTTTTGGCAACACTGTTGCTGGTCAAGGGACTTTGAGAACCAGTGCACGTTTGGGTGGAGATGGGAGTATCTGATGGCGCCAACGCTGTGTGCTATTTAATGTTAGCATTTTAAACTATGGTGCTCAACCTTGGCTGCCCATGGAATCACTTTAAAGCTTTAAAAACATAACACTATTATGACTCATCCCTAGAGATACTGATTTAATTGCTCTCAAGTGTATTTTGAGCATATAGATAGACTTAAAGCCTCCACAGGGCTGAGGGGTGTGACTCAGTGTACAGGGCTTCCCTAGCACACAGAGGCCTAGGATTTGAAGGGAGGGGTGGTGTTACCCAGGTGATTTCAAAGTACAGTCAAGGCTGAGCACCACTGCTCCTAAAATAAATTTAGAGGTTGGGTGTGGTGGCGCACCTCCATAATCTCAGCACACAGGAGGCTGAGACCAGAGGATTGCCTCAAACTCAAGTCCAGCTTGGACTATATTGGAGACCCTGACTCCCCACCAAAAAAGAATTTAGAATGTTTAGTTCCATTTGAGGAATAATTTTCAGAGTCACCTTGCACAGGCTTGGTGCGCAGTAAGGCCCAGTAAACATTACCTGTACTGCAATCTAAAGCTTTCATGTTAAAAACTCACACATACTGTTCTGTGAGGGCCGTGTGCTAGATACGCACTAGTTTTCTGTACCAGTTTTCTCTCTCAGCATTTCCTGAGAAGCATTTGCAAAGCCCTTTATTGAGTTCCTACACTGTAGCCTGGCTGGTGACACCCAGCTGGTGAAAGGAATGTGACACCATTTTTACTATCCATGATAATGCCCCACATCTTCCCACTGTGGAATCACCCAGGAGCGAAAAGAGGAGTCCCTGGGCAATCAGGAAGCTGTGTACTTCTGGATCCAAGTCAGGTAGTTGGCCACATCAGTGTAGATGCCGGGCTTGTTGCGGTCGCCACAGCCAGAGCCCCAACTAATGATGCCTCGAAGAGTGAGCCGGGGCTCTGCCGCCTCATCCTCACACACCAGAGGGCCCCCGGAGTCACCCTGGTTCGAGAAGACGAAGCTCAGCGCCCTCGCCCTGCTCCTGGAGAGCTTGGGGGAGGCACTAACCAGGCCCCAGGGTTCACCTGGCACGCGTCAGTGCCGCCCTCAAGGAAGCCAGCGCAGAGCATCCCAGGAAGAATGGCGTCGCCGTGCACTTCAGGGGTGGAGCAACGTTCCAAGGAGATGAAGGGCACCTGTGCCTCCTGTAGGAAGGTGGAATATTCCTCCGCTCCTGGGAACGCAGAGCACCTTCCTCACACCAGTCCAGGCAGCACGGACGCTTCTACCCCCCAGCCTCTCCGTTTCTCCATCACAGACAGCCGGAGAGGGAGTTGCGGGTTAACTCCATTTCATAGGCAAGGAAATAGGCCCACAGAGGAGCCAGGATTTGAATGGGCGGGGCCGAAGCAGGAAACCCATCCCTGCCTCCCAGGCAGCACCGCAGAACTTGGCTCACGGAGTACCGCATCACATTCGCTGCTTGAGCATGGGGACAGAGTCCTAGTCGTCCCTGCAACCCAGCTCCCAGAGGGAACCGGGAGAAAGTGCGGTTCTCCCTGTACCCCCAGGAGATCTGGGCACCTCAGCAGTGTATCCCAGACTGGGAAGGGAGGACTGCAGTACAAGGGCCTTGCGTGCCACCGCTCTGGTGGGCATGCTGGCCCATACCAAAACTGCGGGCTTCTCCGGACTACTTTTGTATGCTGACGTCTCCCCCACCCCCAGGCTGTTCCCTACCCTCGACCTGGTGGCCCCAGCCGGCAACCTCGCAGAGCACAGCCTCGGATTCAGAGGGTGGGGTGGCTTCTCTGGGCAGGCACACGGGCTGCACGTAAGGCGACAGTTGGGCGCAGCTGCCGTCCGCGTTCTCTTGCAGGCGCAGCAGAGCTAACCCAGGCGGGGAGGAGTGTTAGGCGGGGACTCTGGGGCCCAGCCCCCACATCTTTTCTCCTCTCCCCTCAGAAGCGCCTGCACGCACCCAGGTCGTGCTGATAGCTGATGGATGAGAAGGCCTCATGCAGGCGGTAGGAGCTCACCGCCAGCGTTTGGCAGTGCTCGCAGCTCTGGTTATGGCGGTCCTGGCCAAGCACCACCGTCAGCTCCTCGGGCGCTGGCCTGCAGGCGGGGTGGTAGAGGCAGCATGCTCAGAACGGGCCGCAGGCATTTTGGGGGCGCTCCCGGGTTCGAACCTTTCCCCAAGTGTCCAGCTTCCTTCTGGAAGGCTCCGGAGGGGCGAGGGCGGGGGGCGAAGGTGCAGGCTGAGATGCGGGGCTGAAGCTAGGCTCAGGGATAGATGGGCTAGTGGCTAGGCTTCCGGAGGGGAGCTGAGCGGGTGGGTACTCGCCGGTTCTGCAGGCAGTGAGCCGCAGTCAGCACCCAGCAAGGGGCGATGAGGCTGCCGGAGCAGAAATTGTGACCCCAGTACAGCGCGGCGATGTAGGGGTGCGCACCAGGCAGCGCCACTAGTCCGCCGACGATACGACTCAGAGAAGACAACCGCTTCCGCAGCCGCTGTCCGCAGAGCACCGGGCCGGTCCTGGACAGTTTGTCCGCGGAGGCTGTGGGAGGAGGTCAGGGAAACCCGTGCCTGCAATCTAGCTGGCCCTGCTCCCTCACTGCTGGAACTCCCCCGACCCCAACTACCTGGGATCTGGGTCGTGGGCTGAGGCTTCTGCAATACTGAAGGCCTGGGCCTGGGCAAGTCTTGACGCCCGAGGTGAATCTGGGGTGTAGACACTGCCGCGGGTGGGGCCTCACACTGTGGCAGGTCGCAATAGTCCCAGCTGAGCCGGTTGCCTTTCCAGATGAAGCACCAAGGGCGGGTGTCATTATCCGGGTTCCTGTAACCTCAAGGGGGCGCTCTGTTAGGGTTTGAGGAGCCCCTCAAGGCCTTGAGGGAGGGAGTTACCTGCTCCGCCCCACCCTGTGCACCGGCAGAAGGCGTGGTAGCCCAGTCCCCTGTTCAGCGCTTGCTCTGCAGTCATGTTCCGGTAGGTGGCCTCCGAGGCCCACCGCTGACACGCTGCGCCCGAGACAGTGGTCCTGGCCATGCCGCGGTAGCTGAGCCCGCGGCCATCATAGCAGCTTGCCTCAGTGTCTAGGGAGAAAGGGGGCTCCCTGCTGCGAGGGGGTGGCTCTTCTTCCACTACCTCAAACCCACTTCCCCACTCTCCCAAGTCCCTCTGGGCAAGTCCTTCCCACGTGGACAGGGCTCTCCTGCTGATACCGTCACTCACCCAAGTCACAGAAGGGTCCAGTGTAGCCCATTGGGCAATGGCACAGACGGTGACCCTCCACCTCTAGGCAGTGGCCCCCATTGAGGCACGGATTGGTGCGGCAGGCTGGGGGAAGGGGCAAATGCAGCCACCCACTGGCCTGCCACACAGTTTCCTGCCGGCTTCTCCTGACTTTCAGCTCTCCTCCCCAGCCAGTTCCCAATTGGTCCACTTACCCTGGCTGGCCATTGGCTTACAGTGAGCATCAGGACCCTTGCAGTGGCATTTGGCCACCCCTGCTGGTCCAGTTTTAAGCCATATTTCATTCTCATGGAAGAATCGGAGAAGCTGAGGCTCAAAGCACTTCTCTAGGAATAAAGGGACCACAGTCCACAGTGGCTGGGACCATGCAGAGTCCCACTCATAGGAGCCTCTTCAGTAGGTCTGGAGCTGCCCCTGTTCCCCCTGTTCCCTAGTATCTCCTCCCCTGTCAAGTCCCCTCCTTACCTCTCTGGCAGTGCTTCCCAGTGAGGTGTTCTGGACAGAGGCAGTGGGGGCTGCTCAGCGTATTCACACAGATCCCTCCCTTCTGGCAGGGGTTGTGTTTGCTGCAGTGGTCTAGAGATGGAAACCAAGAGGAAGCATGAGTCACACAGGTGAGGGCCAAGTCCCCACCTGAACCTCCTTGCATGGGACTTTAAAATCAAGTTGCCACGTCTTAGTTTAGCTATCTGCAACACCAGTCTATCTTCAGAATTCTCTCTGTGAGCTTCTAAAGGGTATTGTGATACCCAGGAAAAGAACGGGGTGTGCTGGGCTATCCAGATACTGTGAAACATACCTTTTACTTTCTTGGGCTCTAGGCAGTATCCCCATTCCTGGTCCTGATCAAAGTTGGCAGTGGTAGCACACCTGTAGAAACAGAGGAGGCTTCCCTGCTCTGCCCAGGGGCTAGCCTGCCCTCCCCAATCATAGCCCCCTTTCTCTTAGCAGGGTCCCTTGGACAGAAGAAGGGCAGAATCCATTGCTCCCAGTCCCTGCTTTAACCCTCTCTTACCAGGGCCGGGGGCCTGGCCAGCCCTTGTGGATACATTTATGGTACAGCTGCCGGTGGTACTGGAAGGGGAAGTGGCAGGGCTCCCCGGTTACAGTAAGACCTGTGGAATAACACACTTCTTCAGGGACTTCCCCTGAGCCCAATTGCCCAGTCTATGCCTCACAGTGATAGGAAAAAGGATAGACCCTCTAAAAGGTTGTGTGCTCAAGAAGCATCCTGCTAAAGAAGATCGGTTCTAAGATGGGCAGGGTGGTGCACACCTGTAATCTCAGCACTTGGGAGGCTGAGGCAGGAAGATCACTACCAGCTGGGCTATATGGCAAATCTTAACTATACCCTTCCCCCCTCAGAAAAAAAGGAAGCTGGGTTTTGGAGTCAGATGACTGGGGTAGATTACTGACTCTACCACTTGCTAGCTGCATGACCTTGGGCGAGTCTGAAGCCCTTAAGGCCTAGAAGAATGCTTGACACAGAGTTGACACTTAATAAATGCTTGTGGAACTTTGAAGTCACATAAACAATTTGAGCCTTGGTTCCCTCATCTTTAAAATGACAATAATAATAACAGTCAATCCTTATTATTCACCAATTCTGTATTGACAAATGTGCTAAAATTTATTGGAACCCCCAAGTCAATACTTGCAATTTGGGCTGAGACTGGTAAAATGCTTGCCTAATGTGTGAAGCTCTGGGTTTGGTCCTAGCAGTGGAAATACAAAAAAACAAGTACTTGCAATGCTTTCATGGTCATTTGTGGGCATACACAAAGCAGGGATAAATGTGTACATTTCCTGCTGAGGTTCAACAAGCTGACACTCTGCTTTCCTCTTTCATCTCTCATGCTGTAAACAAATGTCCTTTTTCACAATCTATTTAGTGCAGCATGTTTTTCTTCACATGTGGTGCTTTTTGTGGTAATTTTGCCATTCAAAATGGCCCCGGTGCCTATCCCAAAGTGCTGTCTATGTTCCTAACGCAAGAAGTCTGCCATGTGACTTTCAGAGAAACCGTGTGAGAGAAGCTTCATTCAGGCATGAATTATAGCGCTGTTGGCTGTGAGGTCATTGTTAAAGAGAATCACACATAAAACAAGGTTATATGTTGATGGTTGATTAAAATGTTATAACCAGAGGCTCACAGGAGTCTAACAGTATTTATGAATTTAATGTTCGTGGTGACCTTGTAAAACATAACTACTGTGAGGGCCAGGATTTTGCTCAGTGGCACCCCACCTGCCTGGCAAGCCCAAGGTCCTGAGTTTGATTCCCAATACAAAAAAATAAAAAGGAACATAACTGCTGTGAATAATAAGAATTGCTTGTGTCTACTTCAGAGGAATGTTGTGGAGCTAAGAGATAATACCTATAAAACCTTCTGTGTCTGACACACTAGTATGTGTACAATAAACGTGTTGCAATTTTGTTGTTAAAGGCACCGTATGTAGCATTTACTGAGAGCCAGAGCAAGGTCAGGAGAGAGACAGAAATCTGAGGTGGACCTCTAATATGTAAAAAGGATGGAGAGAGAGGAAGTGGATACTAGGTAGACACTTAGGAAAACACAGGGCAATAGCTGGATGCAAACAAACAAACAAATGATGGCACTACTGTTGGGTCAGGCAAGAAGGAGGAGAAGTTTGGCTTGGTGAGGGGTGAGGAAAAGACGGTGCAAAAGTCCAGGTTCACACTGTGGACTGAGGGTTGACTCCATTAGGCCAGTGTCATCAGAGCCTAGTTCACAGTCCCCAGAACACTGGCCATCCTGGGTATATTTGTAATGCCTGCTAGAATGAAGGCAATGGGGAGCTATGGAAAGGTTTGGGGAAAGGAGAGGCGACAGGTACCCCTCATGTAAGTGGGAGCTTTATAATATGAGCTATTTGTTTGCTTGTTTTGCAGTGCTATGAATCAGACCAGCAGCTTTGCTCACACAAGGCAAGTGCTCTCCCACTGAGCTGTACCCACAGGTCAAAATCTAATGTTTTGGGGTTTTTTTGTTGGTGATGGTTGGTTGGTTAGTTTTTTGAGACAAAGTCTCACTATGTAATTCAGGCTTCCCTTGAATTCACTATATAGTCCAGGCTGGCCTTGAACTCATGGCAATCCTCCTGCCTCAGCCCTCCAAGTGTTGGATGACAGGCATGTGCCACCATGCCCAGATCCAAAATCTAGGATTTTTAAAAGCATTTTTCAAACACCAAGCTCTGGACTCAGTGCCTTATAGAGATCAACAACTCATTTTTCTTTCTAAACAACCATGAGAGGTTCACTATTACCACACTGGTTTTACAAATGGAGAAACTAAAGCACAGAGAAGTCAAGTCACTCACTCAGAGTCACACAGCTGATGAAGCATGTTCAGAGGTAATTGAGATTCAGAGACCTGTCTGGATCACTCTTTGCCCATTCAGGGCCCTGCCTCTGTATGCTATGCTATGCTTGATACCCCGAGACATGTTGTGAAAAGAAAAAGAAGGGCAGAATATAGGGAAACAGAAGAACCCAGGTGTGACGGCATCAACAGCAGCTACTCCAAGCACCTGCTTGAGATAGGCTCTTGATGGGGGACTCAGATACACCCCAAGCCCTGGCCTCAAGAAGCATGCAGCTCAGTATCACTCTGAGCCCCCAGCACCCAGGGGCCCAAGACCTAGCATTGCAGGAACTCAGGTCTAATGTCAGCTAAATCACTCTGTCCTCTGAATCTGTCTCCTCATTCCAAGGGCCTGAGGACACCCTGGGACTGCACACGCTCCCCGCTTACCCCCCCAAGGGTATCTTAGGAAGGGAGTCAGACCACTTACCCACTGTGAGCTCCTCTATGCTGTGCTTATGCTCTTTGGGGGCTTTCCAACGTGGTGGAACCTACAGAGGCAAGAAGGCCGGAGATTTGCCTAGAAAGTCATAACCTGCTCCTAATCCTACACCAGTCCCTGCCCTCCTCTCACAGCTCAGAAATGCTGAGGTTTCTTCACAAGATTTGAACACCTCCTTACCCCTCACATTGTCTCCTTAGGGCCCTCTCTTCCCCAGAAAGGCAGGTTAAGCTCTCCTATCTGCCAGCTCTAGTTCATCTGTTTCCTCTGCCTGGGCCTTCTGGCCTAGCTATACCTTTCTACACAGGCCTCCAGGTCACCTGAGTAAACAGATTATAGGCAGAGGCCTCTGGAACCCCTAAGGCCATCCTAGCCCAATTCTAGTTCCCACAGCCCTCACCGAAAGTGCCGACTCCAGGCTCACCAACAGGGACCCCAGGAGCAGCAGAGCCCTCATGGCGCCTGTCTGTTGGCCCAGCTGCCTGCCCAAGAGTCCAGATCAATTGGGCTGGTCAAAGGTCCTTGCGACTTGGGAAGTGAAAATTGGTCAAGCTGCCCCAGTGGGGCACAGGCTATTTCTGAAAAGCCAAGCAGAAAACTTCCTTGGAGGCCCAAGGGAAGGGTGGGAGGCGCGGGCTAGAATAATGGAAAGCTGCATTCTCCTTGTCTTCTGGATAGTGGGACTGGACTCAGTACTAAGGAAAGTTTTATGTCCCAGGTCCTATTGGGGATCAGAGGGTCAAGGCAATCTAAGAGAAGGCCCCTAATTTAGGAATCTTAGAGTCCATCAGGAAGTATATTTGTTTTCTATAGCTGCGTAGCAAATGACCACTAACTTGGCAGCCTAAACACTACCCATTTATTGGTTCACAAATTTGTAGGTAAAAGTGCAATTAGGTTTTATGCTCAGAATACTGCATCACAAAAGTAAGATCAAGACTGAGTTCTTTTTTTTTTTTTTTTTTTTTTTTTTTT